TTTTGACAGTGTGATCAGTAACTGCTACCAAGTGTACCCACTAGTCTCTGAGCCTAACTGTGTGTTGGAAAACACGCCGGTGGGGACAAAAAGTCACTGTGAACAGTGAAGGAAAAAACCATATAGGGTAAGCCTACAGGAATCTACAATATTCTGATGAGAGTGTGGCCTAGTTTCATATATTCCCATAGAAAAAAATGAATAAAATCTTTCATTACTCAGTCCAAATAACCTGCTATAAATATATATATATATATTTTATATGTATAAAATATATATATTTAAAATATCTATATATACACCAGAGGAGCCTATATATATATATATATATAGGTGATATATATATGTGTGTGTGTGTGTGTGTGTGTGTGTGTGTATGGCTTCTGCAGTGTATATATATAGATATTTCCATGAAAAAATGAAATAGCATAGAGAAACAAGTATGTCTGTGATTATAAATTACCATTTTACAGTAATACTTGCGTTGAAGATTTTGTAGAAACACACTTGCTGTAGTGAGGCATCATTTTAAGAGAAATAAAACATTCGCCTCCAAAGGTCATTACTGCCATTGGTCATTGCTGACACAGCCCTAGCAGGACTTGTTTACATAAAAGGTTTATGTCACCAGTGATACAGGCATAACCTTAAGCAGCTGAGAAATAAGGGGAAATTAAGACAACAGTAGCCCAGTCATCTCCTTCTGTCCATTAATTGATGACCTTGGCTCTGGAGAGAAGCAAGGTAACCCCGGCTCATTCCATACTTGTTATTGCTGTTCAGTTGCTCAGTCGTGTCCGATTCTTTCGTGACCCCATGGACCCGCCAGGCTCCTCTGTCCATGAGATTTCCCAGGCACGAGCCCTGGAGTGGGTTGCCATTTCCTTCTCCAGGGGACCGTCCCGCCGCAGGATCGAACTCACACTTCCTGCGTTGGCAGGCAGGTTCTTTACTGCTGAGCCACCAGGGAAGGCCCGTCCATGCTTTACCGTGGGGAGATTAACCCCGTCCTCAGAACCCCCATTTCCATGCCTGCAGAAAGGCAGAATGCCCACGTAGTAGGACAGGTGTGGGGGAGCTGGAGCCAGGCACACTACCCCTGGACGGAGCGGGCGCAGTGAGCACCTCTGTGTGGTCCAGCCTGCAGCCCAGAGAAAAGGCCCCAATCTCGGAGCCCTGGGTTTGGCTCTGTCACTAACTGCAAGGTCTGTTTTTTCTTTTACAAATATGTCCATCTTGTATTACTCATGGGAATAAAGCCCTAGAAATATAATTATGGGAGTACGCCAACATGTTTTTTGGCTGCACCACACACAGCCTGGGGGATCTTAGTTCCCCAAAGGGTCGAACCTGCACCCCCCGCAGTAGAAGTGCAGAGTCGTAACCGCTGGACCAGCAGGGAAATCCCCAGTGCAGGGCCTCCAACAAGGCATGCCCCATCCCTGGGTCACAGTTTCCTCATTTGTCAAGTGAACAGAATGGTTTCCGAGGTTCTGACTGGCGCTAAACACCCCGCCTGCTGACCAGAAATGACTTTGTAAACCCCCTTGGTGGTCTGTGTTAATATATGGCCTTTCGTTGGCGGTCCTGTGGGGCGGTTTGTGGTGAAAGCAGGTTCCTGAGACCACCTGACATCTGGCAGTCCAGAGCTGGGGCAAACATCGGTTCTGAAGCACCCACAGACTCTCCTCTTTCCTTCAGCCGTGGCTCAGACAGATGTTCCACTTTCAACTGATTTATAATCACCCAAATCATACATTTATATGAATAGAAGGAAAAGATTCATAAAGGAAAGGCTAAATTCCTGTTCCCCATGGGAGACAAAGCAGCCTGGTATCATAGCTACTGTGCTGGCTAGGTCTTAGCCCTCGTTTTCTAACATTTTTATTGGAGTGTAGTTGCTTTAAAATGTTGTGTTAGCCTGTGCTGTCCACCCACGTCAATCAGCTGTTAGACACACATACACCCCCTCATTGTTGGATCTCCTTCCCGTTTCCATCAGAGAGCGCTGGGCCAGGCTCCCCGAGCTGCGCAGCAGGCTGCCACAGTCAGCTGCTCCACGCACAGGCGTGTGCGGACGTCGGCCCCAATCTCCCAGCTGGTCCCTCTGTGCTTCCCCGCCGTGGCGGTTTGTACGTTTGCTCTCTGCAATTATGCCTCTCTTTCTGCCGGGCCCTCATTTTAAATCTCTCATGGCCGTGTGACTTGGAACAAGTCACTAACTTCTGGGTGTCCTTGCTACCACTTCCACACACGAGAGGCAATGCTTCACCCCGTCTTCCCTGAGGCTCAGATGAGGTGCCAGACCCAGAATGCCGCTGTCACTGGGAAGTGGGCACAGACAGGGCCTGGGAGCCTCCCGACACCTGTCCTCAGCAGGCCCGCAGGTGCCCGGAGGTAAGCAAGCAGGATGCACAGCCTTGGCCTCCAAGGCCACTTACGTGACTCAGTCAATGAGGACAACACGAATTCTGTGTCCCTAAAGGAAGAATTCCAGGGCCCAGGAAAGGCTCTGTGGAATTCATGCCAGTAACTGACACACAGAAATGAATACCGAAGGGGATCACACGATGAAGAAGGCAGAATGGTCTTAAAATGTCAGAACTGGAAGGGACATTTCTGTTCAAAATCCAGAGATCAAACCACATTTACTTTCTCCCTGTGTATGGGGCATTTTCACTTACGTTAACTTATTTATCACAGCCTGCCTGTGAAAGGTGTATTGGTCTCATTTTTCAGATGGAAAAAAATAGAAGCGAATGCTCCTAAAGGAAATCATGTTACAGATAGGAACAAGAACAAAAGAAGCGAATGCTTCAGACATGGGTGCTTTACCTGCATTTACTTCTTCAATTACCGTCACGAAGAAACTTATAAATCCAGGCACACTTTCATTACTTTTAAAAGTACTCACTCACTTGTCTGACTGTCCCCAGGTCTCGAGGGTGGCACGGGGCCCCTCCATCTTCACTATAGCATGCGGGGTCTCCGGTGCCATCCTGCAAACTCTTAGTTGCGGCATGTGGCTCATCACAGATGGGACCTGGGCCCCGTGCAGTGGGAGAGCGGAGTCTTAGCCACTAGATCTCCGGGTAAGTCCCAGGCATGCTTTGAATAGTAAAGAAGAAATGCAAGGAGTTTGTGTTCTAGAAAGGAGAGACAAATGATAAACAAGCAAGCAAATGCAGTAATTACTCACAATGAGTGACCACAAAGAAAAGAAAGGCAGGTGCTGTGGGAGACTCATCAGGAGGCCGCACTGTGGGCTGAGGGCTCGGGGAAGGCTTCTTCGAGATGCCGAGGTCTGAGCTGCCCCGGCTGAGGCACCCACGCCATTGGGCCATTTAAGTCTTACAGCAACCGCATGAGACAGGAATTATCACTGTCCCTGTTTTATGGCTGAAGAACTTGAGGCCCAGAGAATTTGAAGAACTTGCCCAAAGTTTCACAGCAAACGGGGAAATCCTGATCTGAACCTAGGCAGTCTGATGAGTGGCCCAGGAGGCCACCGTCTTACACAGAGCCTTCGGGAGCCTCCCTGGGGTGATGTGCTCAAGGCTGCTCCTGTCCTCGGAGCGGGGGAGGCTGTGCCGGCCCCTCCTGACTGCAGGCCAGTCTTCCCCGTCCCCCACCACGGAGACTCTGGCCCGCCACCACGGACAAAAGCAGGTAAGTAAAGGGGCAAGGACAAGCCCGTGAGAAATACGCTCTCTAGGGTTAAAGCACGAGAAAAGCATCCAAGGCTGACAGGCACACAGAACTCACGAGTTAATGAGCATAACCTTCTCCACAACGAAAAACCACGTCCCTGCTGTGGTTGTCGAGAATACTGGCAGGGAGCCCTGAGCCAGATGCCTGTACGTTCAAAGAACAGTCACAACCTAAAAGTTGAGAATCTCCTTTTATTTGGCAGAAATTTTTAGGACTTAAGTCCAGGAGGCAGCGTCTCAAGGAGTCCTGGAAGAGCGGCTCTGCGGAGCTGAGGGAAGGCGCCAGGTCATTCAGAAGGTTTGAAACAAAGGGCAGGGAGCCTGAACATCAAGATGCTCCTGTTAACTAAAGGAAATCAGACATTCCAAGTTAGGGAATTTAGTGCTTTCTATGTATGGGCAGATGTAAGAGTCTGGGCTCATGGAAATCATTCCTTTCATGTTGTTGTTCAGTCGCTCAGTCGTGTCTGATCCCATGGACTGCAGCACACCAGGCCTCCCTGTCCTTCACCATTTCCTGGAGCTTGCTCAAACTCATGCCCGTCGAATTGGTGATGCCATCCAACCATCTCATCCTCTGTCATCCCTTTCTCCTCCTGCCCTCAATCTTTCCCAGCATCAGGGTCTTTCCAGTGAGTCAGCTCTTCGCATCAGGTGGTCAAAGTATTGGAGTTTCAGCTTCAGCATCAGTCCTTTCAATGAATATTCAGGACTGGTTTCCTTTAGCATGGACTGGTTGGATCTCCTTACAGTCCAAGGGACTCTCAAGAGTCTTCTCCAACACCACAGTTCAAAAGCATCAATTCTTCGGTGCTCAGCTTTCTTTATAGTCCAACTCTCACATCCATACATGACTATTGGAAAAACCATAGCCTTGACTAGACGGACCTTTGTTGGCAAAGTAATGTCTCTGCTTTTTAGTATGCTGTCTAGGTTGGTCATAACTTTTCTTCCAAGGAGCAAGCATCTTTTAATGGGTGCCCTTAGGGCTCAGAAACTCACACTGCAGGGCCAGAGTCACTGATGACTCTGACATCCTCGATTACTGATCAGGCAGGCAATACTCCACTTCTCATACCTTGTCCGAGATGCTCCCCCAGACCCTGTCTCAGAATGTGGAAGGAGGCCTTGCCTTGGATCCAGAGCCAGTAGGAAGAGGCCCTGACTGCTCTCAGGGACACCTGTGCAGAGACCACAGAGGAAACCATTCAGATTCACGACAAGACGAAGTTGGCTGACAATCCTGCTTCCTCCCATTTTATTATTTATCTCCAGGAGTCTGAGGGTGAAATGACGACACCCAGGAATTCAGTGGTTGGAGCTTTCCCAGCGGAAGGTCCCACTGCCATGCATGCTGCTCAGAAAGTGATTCCCAGGAGGGTGCCTGCAGTGGTGGGCCCCACACAGAGCTTCTTCATCAGGGAAGCGAAGGCTCTGGGGGTAAGTCAGTCACCCGGCATTCCACATCCTAGGGACTCTCTGGCCTCCAGAAGCAGCTACTACGGGCCAGGCACAGGATTCAACCTGACTTGAAGGTATTTGACCCAACAGGAGGTGTTCTTCACGTCTGACACAGGGGTTCGAACCAGGGATGCACAGAGATTACTGTGGTGATCTTACGCTGCCCTGCCGTGATCCTGAGATTTGCACAGTTAGGGGCCTCCATCCCAATTCATCACGAGTATCCCAGTACACCTGCTGTGGAAATGCTGGTGTGGTGGGGAAAATGAATCTGAAGATGACAAAGGTCTTGGGCCCTTTAACGCTTGCTCTGGACTTGTCACACAGCCCGTCTGCTCAGGAGCCAGGGCTTCCAGGCCCCCCTCCTGCTTTCTGACTCGATGACAATTTCAGTTCCACCATCAGCGCCCCTCTCCTCCCCGCAGGCTGTCCAGATTATGAACGGGCTGTTCCACATTGCCCTGGGAAGCCTCATGCTGATCCACAAGGACGTCTACATGCCCATCTGTGTAACCTTGTGGTACCCTCTCTGGGGAGGTATCATGGTGAGTAAAACCTAGTAGCCTTTTTGGGGAGTGATGCAGACAAAAATGTTCAAAGAAGCTCCACAGGAATATACCCGATCACATATGTGTTGAGGAAAGCATAGCGGTGGGGAACAGGTTGTCTGGTTGAAGGGATTTAGAGGAAAAAGAGGCTGAGTTGAGCCTGAGTCTCATGGTTGAGTCAGTGGTCATGCTTCACGGGAATTCAGAGAACGCGGCCCTAAGTGGATGTCCACAGCGAGAGAAGACCGCTTGAAGCCCGACCTCCCCAAACTCAACGGCTGGGGTGGAGCTGGGTAGGTCCTAGACGGTTCGGGTTGGTGTTTCGGAAAGCAAGAGTGGGTGGGGGCACTGCAGCTCCTCCCACCTGCCCTTCCTCCCGACGATTCTCTTTCGTTCCTGTCTCATGTGGTGGAACAGTCCCGTGCCGAAAAACCCCCTCACCTTTCAGCGGAGCAGCAATCCTCATGGTTGCTTCACGTGCAGCTTTCCAGGTCTGCAACCCCGTGCGGATGAGGTGTGAGGCAGTGATGTCTTTATCCCCGGTACCCTTTCATAGATGAGCTGTGAAGACTGGTTCAGGACTGAAATTTTCAGGGCAAGGAGAGATCGATTAGAGTCAGAGTCTCCTCCATTTTACAGCTTGAGGAGTAGAAGCGGAAGACGAGAAATAATGATCACTTCCTGTAGCAGCCCACATTTTAATGAAGCGCCTGCTACATGCAGGCCAAGTGCTGCTTCTATGTCAGTTCACTCACCATTGCCATCAGTCATTTAAAACACCCTGAACTCCAAAGAACAATTCCCCAAATTTACAAAAAAAAAAAAAAAAGGAAAGCTAAAACTTTTAAATTCACAGTTGAGTACTAGTTGACATGGAAATGTGAGTTCTGCCTGTGGTTTTACTAAATGCCTAGTCACAGATCCCCAGCTGGTTGAACGAAAAGCATGGATTTAATGTGGTTGAGCCTGAATAGTGGAGAAATATGTGCTGAAAAATGAATTAATCCATTAAAAAGGGCTGGACAGTGCAGGGAAAGGGGTTGAAAGGGTGGACAGCTTTTTCACAATCGCTTCTCCATGTTAAAAGGTGACCTTCCTCTCTGCCCCTCTCCCCACTGCTTCTCCCATCCCTCCCCACCCCTCCCCACCCACCACCTCTCTTTACAGTACATCATTTCTGGATCACTGCTGGCAGCAGCGGAGAAAAACTCCACACAGAGCATGGCAAGTAATTGAATGTCCTCCTTTCCCACACATTAGAGCGGTGTCTACTTTCTCAGCTGGAAACAAGGACCCTGGAAGACCCTTGTAGTTACAGTAGCACTGTGACCCCTCAACCCCCAAAAGTGAAAGATCCTCTATGATGCTACTGTGATCAGTTCATAAAAAACATGAAAATGGGATGTCCATGGAAACAGAATCAGAGGCAGATCGGTGAAGAGCAGGCTTACGGTCTCAGGAATGAGAGATGCTGCAAGAGATGGATCTCTGAAAGTCACGCCACTCCTCTCAGATCAGCATTGAAGAAAATGGTCTAATCAAGGCTGTGACTGACTCAAGTCTTAGTTAACCTTGAGCCTTAGTTAGCCTTGAACCTTGGGCAAGCCAGCTTCCCCCGTGCACCTCTAAGTTTTCACCTGTGAGATGGAGATAACAGCCCTTGCTACCATATGAAATTATCCTGAGGATAACACGGAGTGACACATATGCAGGATAGAATATATGAAGGTGCTTCAGGGTCTATAAGGAGCTGGAGCGGTCTTGTTCATAGACCCTCAGGACACACTGACACTCAGGCAGACCCCCTGATTCTCTACAGGTCAAGAGTTTACCAGCAGACGTCCTTCTTCAACGTCTCTACACTTACTAAGGTCCTACTGATTTAAGTCACTTCCAAAGTCCATGAGAGATTGAGACTGAGATGGCTCCCCTCTAGAGGTGGTCTGACAAACTCACTTTGCAGGGAAAAAAGCAACTGTTCGTGAAGATGAAACTGTATTTAAGATATAGCCAGTTGTAGTGACTTGCATCTGTAGGTCATACAACCAGGGATGAAATCTGTGTGTTGTGAGATAATCATCAGTAACACCACATCATTATGGTGCTTGTTGCATGAATCTTCCTGTTTTTGACCTTTCATCATCCCTGCAAGGTGGCGTGTCACACTGACAGCCTCTAACCTGGTGCTTCCCAGAGACGTCAGCCTGAAGTGTATTTGTTTTGAGAGATGGTTGACTGGGGCTGACTGCAACCTGTGTCCACAGGGAAGGAGAAGGTGTATTACTATTCGTGTGTTTCCACTTGACGATACAGACCTAGAGGGGCCAACCTTCTCTCCCTGCCTATAGCCACCAAAGCTTCCTGCTTCACTGCGACATACTCTGAATACTACTTACTTCATTTACTCAACAGCTGTGCACTGAACGTCTACTAGGATTCCGGGGGCGGGGCGGGGGGCACTGGCAGCTAAAGGAAGTACAAGGATCACTTCTAGAACATTTTCTTGAGGAACTGATTGGATGGGTGGCAGAAACGAGGTGGGGACGACCGAGAAAGCGACAAGGTGCAGACAGGACGGTGTTTATTTTGCAGTGGCAAGGAGACTAAAACAGCCGAGAGAAACAGGACTCAGCAGGATTTAGATGTAGTACCTTTATGAGTCAGGAAAATAAGATCTGGAACTCTGTCCTAGCTTATATTGTCCAATTGGAAATTAGACTCAATTAATAAATATCTGTGTCTCTTATTTCAGCTCACGGGAAGAGTAATAATGAACTCTTTGAGCCTCTTTGCTGCTATTTCTGGAATAATTTTTTTGATCATGGACATATTTAATATGACAATTTCCCATTTTTTTAAAATGGAGAATCTGAACCTTATTAAGACTCAGATGCCATATATTAACATAAACAACTGTGAACGAGCTAACCCTGATGAGAATAACTCTCAGTCCATGGAATATTGTGCCAGGATACGGTTTGTGTTCTTGGTAAGTATAAAACTGGATTTATTTTCAGGAAGGAAGCATGGCATTTTCCTTATGATCATCAGCTCTGGATCCAGACTGTCTGTGTCTGCACTTATTGCCTATATGGTTTTGAGCCAGAATTCTGACCACACCACACTGTGTCTCATGTTCTTCCTCTGTAAAATGGGAGACGGTAACAGTATTTATAGAACTGTTTTGAGGGATGAGTTAACGCAGAAAAGCACTTCGTACAGTGTCTTACCACACAGCACAGATGTGCTATTTAAGCCTTTGCTTTAACATTTATTAGTATTATTAATGGAACTAATATTTATTATTTTTATTATTAAGATGAACACTGAAGAACCTAAGTTGTAATGAATGTCATTTGCCTCAAGGGCTTCCCAGGTGGCTCAATAGTTAGAATCCACCTGCCAATGCAGGAGAGGTGAGTTCGATCCCTGGGTCTGGAAGATACCCTGGAGAAGGAAATGGCAACCCACTCCAATACTCTTGCCTGGAAAACCCCATGGACGGAGGAGCCCGGCGGGTTACAGTCCATGAGATCATAAAAGAGTTGGACACGCCTTTAGCAACTAAAACTTCACTTCACTTGAAGGGAAAAGAAATACATCTCCCAGGTGCGGAGAGATTTCCTTGATGCGATACTATACCACCTAAAGCTGGTGGAACTCACATTAAACTGTTCTTGCCTACATGGAATTGACTCTTCAGCTAATTATCACTGCCTTACTTTGGGTCAACAACATACACTCTCTGTTAAGGGCCAGGAGTTTACTAAGGGTTGGTTAGGGTTATGCAGATACCAGCATTTCTCACAGTTAGTCACTATTTCCCTAAAGAATCGACCTTTTCATCATTTACTTTTAGTCATCAGTCATTTTAGTCATCGGTCATTTACTGTGCATTAACCATATTCTCATGGCTTCATTAGCACATTTTCACCCTAATTTTTCTGTTTTTCAGAGCAATTTCGCAGTGATGATGATCTTTGCCTTCCTCCAGAAACTTGTGACAGCTGGCACTGTTGAGAATGAGTGGAAAAAAATATGCTCCAGACCCAAAGCTGTAAGTATAAGCTGTGCTATTCACAACCTCCCTTAGGAAAGTTTCACCTGCAAAATATCATTTATGGAGAGCATAATCTGACAAGTCTGGGAGCATCATGAAAAATGATTCTGGCATATTTCTGGGAAGCAGAAAATACCAGTAATATTCAGTGTATTTGTTTGGGAAACGGCTGACTGGGGCTGGTTGCAACCTGTGTCCACAGGGCAGGAGAAGGTGTATTACTATTTGTATGTTTCCATTTGATGGTACAGACCTAGAGGGGCCAATCTGTTCTCTCCCTGCCTATAGCCAGAAAGTATCCTGCTCCACTGTGACATAATCTAAATATTACTTACTTCATTGACTCGACAGTTGTGCTCTGAACGTCTACTAGGGTTCCCACAGCGGGGAGGGGGCGGGGGCATGGCAGGTAAAGGAAGTACAAGAGTTCTATGCTACGTGCACCCTCTTCCTAGCCTTGGACTCTGCTGGACTTCAGTCATGCCTCTTGATTTCAGGTTTCCACACTTAATGTATAAAAGCAGCATGGCTTCAGGCTGATTAAAGCCACTAGTTCTTCCAAACCCAATTTCTCAGTACTCCCTTCTCCCCTCTTCTTTCTATCTGATCTCTCATCCAAAACAATAGGTTCAAAGAGGCCCTACAGTTGAGATATTAACATCCCAGGGATAGATCAACTATCAACTGCTTTAGAACCACAGGATGTCAGCTTTGCAATAGAATTTAGAAATCATTGTTAATGCCTTCATTTTGCAAGTGAGGAAAATAGGATTAGAGACAGCAAGTTAATACTTTCCTGAGGTTATCTCCAATAGAGGCCAGTCAAAACTGAAATATAAATTCCTCTATTATTGCAGTGTTCTTTCCCAAACACTGTGAGATCATTCCAGGTGAGGTGGCAAGTGTTTGTTGGCCTTGAGGATAAGCCTTGATTAGTGGTTTGGTGACGATCTGAATTATCTGGGAAACCAATCCTGGTATGCAGAAGCATCTAGAAAACAGCATAAAAACCAGGAGATATTGATATTTGTGCAGATTGTTGAGAAATGTGCCAATGATCAAAGTCAAGAAAAGTTTGCTAAATTTTGTGTTCCAGAACATCGTTCTCCTGTCAGCTGAAGAAAAAAAGGAACAGGCGATCGAAATAAAAGAAGAAGTGGTTGAGCAGACTGAAGTGGCTGAGCAGATTGAAATATCTTCCCTACCAAAGAATGAAGAAGACATTGAGATTATTCCAGTCCAAGAAGAGGAAGAAGAAGCAGAAATGAACTTCCCGGAGCCCCCCCAGGATCAGGGAGACGCGCCAATAGAAAACGATAGTGTCCCTTAAACGGTCTCTTTTCTTTGTTGTCGTCTTTTCTTTTAGCATTAGTGTTCACAGCTTCCCAGAGACTTATTTACCCGCATTTCTGAAGGCACTCTGCACGTGGCCACCACGTCTTTCTCTGGTCTTTGCGTGGAGGGACCACAGACAGCTCCCTTCTCCCCATCCTCATTCAGAGTATGCACACAGGCCACTGCAGCAGACTGTAGCATCGTGTTTCTCGCTTAGGACAGCCTTCTTACATTAAAAGGAGAGAAGTCTGAGTGAGGGCTGCAGAATGTGACTTGTCACCGGCCTGACTCTTGGATAAGGGGTAGCAGTAGTAGCGGAGTAGTCACAGCAGCCGCAGAAGTTTGTTTTTCCATTGCTTCTCTCTGCAACAGGCAGACTGTGTATCAGATGAGAAATATAAGTGGCTGCTCCATGCATCCTTAAGCTATCTTTGATTCCTTCCACACCTATATATTTATATATGTGTGGAATCTCTTTTGCACCACTGTTTTCAGGAAAGTAAAAGATAATGATAATGAAGTACAGTAAAGAACCTATTGCATCTGTCTTTCTATGGGCTGACACTGTGCCTCTGTGTCTCACTGGAGGAGCTCTAAGGGGCCAGTCCTCAGCCCTGTCTCTGTACAAACAGCACCGCTTATACCTGGATCTGTCTCCTTCCGTCTTAACTTTTCTTAACTCCTCCTCTAGGCTCTTGGCTGCTCTATCTACATACTTTTCGCCTTTAGGCAAGAGAAGAAAGAATGATAGAAAAAAATGCCATAATGAACACCCAAATCGCAAAGGATAATCAATGCTTGTATTTGTACAGTGTTTTCCAGTTCACAAAATATTTTATCAAATAAGTGTAATTGATCTTCCATGATCAAGGAGAAAAATTCCTATCTCTGTTTTACAATGCTCACACAGTAAGTAAATAAATCAATGTAACTTTTCAATAGTAACAGCAAGTAATTTTGAGAGTCTTATTTCGTACCCAGATCATCTTATTCAAATGCTCTCATGCTTGAAACAAAGAAATTGCCTATCCGGTGTCTATGTAAGAGCCAAGTCAACAGGTTTATCAAGCACCTGCTCTCTGACCAGCATGACAGAGGTGTTGAGAAAGACACAAAAGAGTCAGAAATCATGTTTTACCCCTTGGGGACAAAAAACTTATTTCACAATCTAAACTCATTGACATACAATTAGCTGCCAGATTATAAAATGCAGATACTAAGTGCTAGAGAAATTCTGAGAAAGAAGATCATGCTTGAAAATAACATAATTACTTATAATGCCAAATCTCAGGGACTGTTTACCCTACCTCTAGATTCTTATTCATATTCGGAGAGGTTACTACCCTACACAGAGAGAGCGTTAACCTAGGAACATGTCACTAAAATCTATCATCTGCGTTTGAGCATTTGATGCATGGTAAATGCTGCCAGACCCTGACAGCTATACAGACGATGCAATTTCCACTCTCAGTGACATTTCCACTTTGTTGCTGCTGCTGCTAAGTCACTTCAGTCGTGTCCGACTCTGTGCGACCCCACAGACAGCAGCCCACCAGGCTCCCCCATCCCTGGGATTCTCCAGGTAAGAACACTGGAGTGGGTTGCCATTTCCTTCTCCAGCGCATGCAAGTGAAAAGTGAAAGTGAAGTCGTTCAGTCGTGTCCGACTCTTAGCGACCTCATGGACTGCAGCCCACCAGGCTTCTCCGTCTATGGGATTCTCCAGGCAAGAGTACTGGAGTGGGGTGCCATTGCCTTCTCCATTCCACTTTGTTAGGGACCACGAATTAAAGATATTTCTGATGATTAGAGAAAAAAAAGTAGGTGGGGCATTTCTCTATGTAAAGTTCTTGAAAATGGCTTTAAATGAATGAAACTCTCTGCGTGTGCTCAGCTGCAGCAGGTGATTCCAACACGGTATTTCCCTGAGATTTTTTACTCTTGTAACATTCTGGTCACAGGAGCCTCCACCACTCTCAAGTTCAGATTCACGTAACCCTAGTCTGGGTTTGAACCGTGAGATGTCAAGACATTGACTATTCGTGTCAATATATTCTAACACACACACACACACACATATTCCCAAGGAAAGTTCTCCTGGAGTAGATCATTAATAACACATTCCTTCCTGTGTTCACTCCAGAATGTGACTGGACTATATAGTGGTGGACTAGGACCAGTCCCTGCCTTGGACTAGGGGAAAGGGAAGCGGGTGCAGCTATGACCAACTCAAGGCAAAAACTGGTGAGAAAACCTTCAAAAAATATAAGATCTTGGGACTTCCCTGACTGTCCAGTAGTTAAGACACTGTACTTCCAATGCAGGAGGCATGGGTTTGACCCTTCATTGGGAAACTTAAGATCCTACATGCCATGCTGCATGGCCAAAAAAATAAAAATTAAAAAAAGGACACAAGATCTTATTTCTATCTCATTTTCTCAATTTCTGAAATATATATGAGGATCCTTCTCCAAACACATGGCTTCCTTAAGTATTTTAGTTTCTTTTATTCATTTTTTAAAATAGGGCTTCCCTCATAGCTCAGTCGGTAAACAATCTACCTGCAATGCAGGACACCCAGGTTCAATTCCTGGGTTGGGAAAATGCCCTGAAGAAGGAAATGGTAACCCACTCCAGTATTCTTGCCTGGAGAATCCCATGGACAGAAGAGCCTGGCAGGATATGGTCGATGGGGTTTCAAGAGTTGGACTTGACTTAGTAACTAAATCAATTCATTTTTATATTTTCAACTAGTTTTTACTGAGCCTACATTAACTCCTTATCACAAGACACCACTGATGTCTACTCTTAGAAAATGAAAATCCTTGCTGTGACTTTCTCTCCAGTTATTTCTTTGGCAATTTGTTCACAGCAGGGTGACTGACCACCCCACTCTGCTCAGGACTGAGAGATTTCTTGGGATACAGGAAGTTTAGTGCTAAAACCCAGACTGTCTGAGGCAAACCAGGATGAATGGTTGATTACCCTAGTTAAAGACAATACGTGATTTTACCCAGATGCAATCACTGCATAATAATATAATATTTTTATACTTAAATTTATATCATAAATATGTTTCTTTTGTTGTTGTTGTTTAGTCAGTCAGTTGTGTCTGACTCTTTGCGACCCCGTGGACTGCAGCACACTGCGGTTCCCTATCCTTCACCATCTCCTAGAGTTTACTCAAATGCATGTCCATTGAGTTGGTGATGCCATCCAACCATCTCATCCTCTGTCGTCCCCTTCTCCTCCTGTCCTCAATCTTTCCCAGCATCAGGGTCTTTTCCAATGAGTTAGCTCTTTGCATCAAGTAGCCGAAGTATTGGTGCTTCAATGAAGCCTCAGTCCTTCCAATGAATATTCAGGATTGACTTCCTTTAGGATTGACTGGTTTGATCTCCTTGCTGTTCAAGGAACTCTCAAGAGTCTTCTCCAACACCATAGTTCAAAAGCATCAATTCTTCGGTGCTCAGCTTCCTTTATGGTCCAGCTCTTACATCCATATATGACTACTGGAAAAAAACATAGCTTTGACTATACGGACCTTTGCTGGAAAAGTGATGTCTTTACTTTTTAATGCACTGTCTAGGTTTGTCATAGCCTTTCTTCCAAGGAGCAAGCATCTTAATTTCATGGCTGTAGTCACTGTCTGCAGTGATTTTAGAGCCCAAGAAAATAAAATCTGTCATTGTTTCCATTGTTTCCCCATCTATTTGACATGAAGTGATGGGACCAGATGCCATGTCTTCGATTTTTGAATGTTGAATTTTAAGCCAGCTTTTTCACTCTCCTCTTTCACTTTCACCAAGAGGCTCTTTACTTCTTCTTTTTCTGCCATTAAGGTGGTGTCATCTGCATATCTAAGGTTATCGATATTTCTCCTGGCAATCTTGATTCCAGCTTGGGATTCATCCAGTCTGGCATTTATTATGATGTAATCTGCATATAAGTTAAATAAGCAGGGTGCCAATATACAGCCTTGACGTACTCCTTTCCCGATTTGGAACCAGTCTATTGCTCCATTCCAGTTCTAACCGTTGCTTCTTCACCTGCATACAGGTTTCTCAGGAGGCAGGTAAAGTGGTTTGGTATTCCCATCTCTTTAAGAATTGTCCACAGTTTGTTGTGATCCACACAGTCAAAGGCTTTAGTATAGTCAATGAAGCAAAAGTAGGTATTTCTTTACTGTTACATAATTTTTTATTAGTATATAATTTTCTTAAGTATTATTTTTAGTTGCAACTTAGTACTTCACTGAATCAATATAGGATAATTAACCATTCCTCTATAATTGGGTACTTAGGGTATTTCCTTGTTTTTTTGGTTTTTTTGCAAATCACTTTTATAGCTGCAGAAACCATGAGCAAGAAAAAAACATATTTCCTGTTCTCATTATTCAAAACGTGGTCTCACATGTCAGGCCTTGTCAAACTCCACCAGCAGGAAGCACTGGCACTTGTTAAAAGCCAGGGAGTCCGTCTTTATTGCACTTTGAGAAGAGAAAAATCCAATACCCAGAAATGGTAGCTTGGATTTGATTTGTTTTTAAACTCTTGGTACACAACCGAAAACACCAAGCAGAAATCTTCGTAAGTCTGTAAACCTGAGAGCTTATATGTTCTCAGCTAAAGAGAACCAAGCAATATAAACTGAATACGGTAGAATCATTGGGTGGCAAAGTCGCAGCTAAGCTAGGAGTTTCCCATGGAGGCATGTTTGCCCCCGCTCACCTCTTCCCCTATGACTTACTGTAAGAAAGTTATTCTTACCTAGTATGCATTCTGCTGCAAGGGAGAACAAAAATCCTAAAGTAAGATGTCAACTAATCATTGGGGAATCATTGATTTAATTATCCAAAAGTACTTACTGATGCCAGCCTATCAGCAAGCAAAAATAAGCAGAGTCTCCTCCTTGTAGAGCTTACTATCTGGTTAGACAGAGATTAGTAATATACTCACAAGGCACTTACTATGGGTATGACATCCTGTTAAGAACA